CTGCGCGTCCACACTGCCCTCTTGAGCAAGAGCTCTTGCGCAAGAGGGCTTACATCTGTTAGAAAAGAGCGTAGCTCTTGCGCAAGAAGCCCTCTCTTCCCACGCTTTACTGTAAATCTTCTTGCGCAAGAGTGAGTGGGCAGTGTCAACGTCCTGCGGAAGAACGGCCGTTCTTGCGCAATAACCTGCCAGTGTAGACATAGCCCTAGTGTGGTTACTGACCAATGCAGTGGCACCTGGACCACAGCAACAGTTAAGATCAAGAGACCTCTACTGCATAGGTTGGGAGGCAGCTGGCTTCTAGCATAGAGGGTAGCGGCTCCTTTACTAAGCTTCAGAGGGCCCAAGTTCAAATCTGCTTGGGGGTGGTTACAAGTGGGGGCTTGTCTGGGATCTCAACTGGGTCTCTGAAGCTCAGGACACACTTCCTCACCTAGGGGAAGTATGTAACCCACACACCAGGTTGGGAGGCAGCTGGCTTCTAGCATAGAGGGTAGCGGACCCTTTACTAAGCTTCAGAGGGCCCAAGTTCAAATCTGCTTGGGGGTGGTTACAAGTGGGGGCTTGTCTGGGATCTCAACTGGGTCTCTGAAGCTCAGGACACACTTCCTCACCTAGGGGAAGTATGTAACCCACACACCTAGGCTACGTCTACACTGCTGGTTTTGCTGGCAGTGAGTATGCAAATGAGACACAGATTAGCATATTGTCGGGCCTCATTTGCATAATTTATGCACACTGTTTTTGCGGGGGGGAAATAGTGTAGACATTTTCTTTTTGCGCAAAAACCCCTTTTCCCGCAAGATCCTTATGCCCCAAAAAAGGAGGTTTACTGATCTTGTGGGAAGCAGGGTTTTTACACAAAAAGAAAACATCCACACTACTTTTTTTCCCTCAAAAACCCTTTGTGCAAAAATGGCGTGCATACATTATGCAAATGAGGCATGGTGATATGTTAATCCGCGCCTCATTTGCATACTGTAGACGAAGCCCTAGTGTGGTTCACTGACCTACAGTGGCACCTAGACCACAGCAACAGCTAAGATCAAGAGACCTCTACAGCATGGGCTAGGAGCCAGCTGGCTTTTAGCTCAGAGGGCAGAGGCTCCTATACTAGGTTTCAAGGGATTCCAGGTTGAAATCCGCCGGGGCCAGTTACATAGGCATACTGGGGCGGAGGATTGCTGCCCCCAAGTGCCTGCCATTCCCATGCTCTGGGCCAGGGAGGCTGGAACTGTGCAGCCTCATCCCTTCCCCCGGTGCTCCAGGGAGGCTGGAGTGTGCTCGGTGCACTCTCCTGTCTCCTCCCCTCCTGTGGGGGTGGACCTCAGCAGAGGGGGTAGGGTTGGGGTCCTGCCTCCCCCAGGCGCAGCTGCACCACCCTCCCATGGGTATAAAGATTCTTGAAGGCCTTTTCCTTGGAGAGCATCCTCTAGGTTCTGTCAATCCCCATCACTTCCTCCCAAAATGAGTAGCCCCTGTTCAACCAGTGAGCACTGACATGTTTCTCGCATGCATACGCCAGTGCTCCTCAGAATCTGCCAGAGAGCCACCTGGATGGGTGAGCTGCCATGGCAGAGGGATTTAAACCAACCCAGAAACATCAAAGTGCAAATTCAAGCAATATGGGCTGAGGCTTAGCTGGGTGACTCCTATATAACCGAAGCAGGAGGTAACGCTGTGCAGGAAATGTACCCTAGTGTAGCTATACTTGCTTCTGGGTAGATCTGGCGTATGACATGCCTGATAGGATGGTGCCTTTATATGTTATATGCCCAGAGAAAAACTCCACCAGTTCTCCTCAGACGTGTCTGAAAGTTCATAGGAGCCTGGAGTGGTGTGGTAGTCCATTCCAGCAGGGAAAGGGTTACAGACAGGTCAGAGGTGGCTTGCACAACCCTGGCCAATTAGGTTGGGGGGCAGTCAGGGCCAGGCTGGGTGCTATAAAAGGTTGCAAGGACTGAGAGGTGCTCACTCTTGCTCCAGCTGTGGAGCAGGAGGGACCTGGCTGCCAGGGAAGGTACAGAGAGTCCTTGAGACAGAGATGGCTGGGGAAGGGCAGGAAGAGCCAGGGAGCTCTGACCTGACCCAACACCCAGGCTGCAGGCCTGATACAGGGGGCCTGAGGGGTACTAGATCTCAGGGAGGCAGCCAGGAAAGGAGAAGGCAGCAGGTCCACACCCCCTTGCCAATGAGTGGCCATGTCAGCCTGTAGTGTGCCCCTGCAGCAGGGGCTAGATGACAACTGTCCATGGGTCACTGAGGCATGGTGGAGATAGGGGCTGGGGTTCCCTGGGAGGGGAGGACCCCAGTGTGTGGGGGCACTGCTACAGGGCAGTACTGTGAGGAAAAGCACCGTGAGCTGGGAGGGACACAGGGCCTGAACCAGCACAGAAGGCAGGAAACTGAGGATGAGGCACCAGCCAGCGGAGGGTGCTCCGAGACTGAAGAAGCTCTAATTCCTGGGGAGACCAGCAGGAGGCTCTGCCTCAGTGAGTCGACTCTGCTACCGAGCGTCTCTCTGTGTGGTCCGACTGAAAGCTACTTAAAAACAAACCTTACATTAGAAGCCTGTCAGAAACCTTCCACCAGCGAGGCAAGTCTATGGAGAGGCCTCTCCAGGGAAGGTAAGTGCCCAGTATTTGACTGAGTATGTCGCCCTCTCAGACGGATAATTACAGGCACAAACAATAGCTGACTAACTAGCTGACTGGTTGAGTCAACCATGTAACCAGACAAATCAAAGCTATTCTCTGTACCCCAGCCTCACTGAAACCTGGAACGGATGACCCCAAGAAATCCTGCAACTGGATTTCTCACAGAAAGATGAGAACCCTGCAGCTGCTTTTGAATTTCAAAGGTCTTTACCTTGTTTTAAAATGCTGAAGAGAGCTGCTGTGGTTATGAGTCTCAGAGGGGGAGCCATGTTAGCTGGTAGCTTTAAAAAAACAAGTACATCTGTAGCACCTTAGGGTGTGTCTAGACTACAGAGTTTTGTCGACAAAAGTGGACTTTTGTCGACAAAACTATACCTGCATCTACACTACCGTTGAGTTCTGTTGACATAACGTCGACAGAACTCAGCAGTTTTGTCGACGCTGGTAAACCTCATTTTACGAGGCATAACACCTTTTGTCGACAGAGTTCTGTCGACAGAAGGTGTTATTGCATGTAGGGTTGTGTCTAGACTACAGGGTTTTGTCAACAAAGCAGCTTGCTTTGTCGACAGAACTGAATGTGTCTAGACGCTCTTTGTCGACAGAAGTTTTGTCGACAGATACTGTCGACAAAACTTCTGTCGACAAAAGCCTGTAGTCTAGACATACCCTTAGAGACTAACAAAATTACATCTATAGTATCACGAGCCTTCGTGGGCACAAGCCACCTCCTCAGATGAGAAAGTGGGATTTGCCCATTAAGGCTCATGACACAGGTTGGACCTCCCTGGTCCGGCACCCTCGGGACCTGACCAGGCCTGAAGGAGGGGATTTGTCAGACCAGGAGAGGTGCCTCCTATCATGGGCTGCCCCCCTGCCCTACTAGGGCTCCAGCCCGGTCCCATTGCTGCCTGGCTGGCTGTGGCTCCCTGGGCCGGG